CCAGCCCAGCTCAGCTCAGCCCAGCTCAACCCAGCCCAGCTCAGCTCAGCTCACCCACTCCACCCAGCTCAGCTCAGCCCAGCCCAGCCCAGCCCAGCCCAGCCCAGCCCAGCCCAGCCCAGCACAGCTCAGCCCAGCTCAGCTCACCCACTCCATCCAGCTCAGCTCAGCCCAGCTCAGCCCAGCCCAGCTCAACCCAGCCCAGCTCAGCTCAGCTCAACCCAGCCCAGCCCAGCCCAGCTCAGCTCATCCCAGCCCAGCTCAGCTTAGCCCAGCTCAGCTCAGCTCAGCCCAGCTCAGCTCAGCTCAGCCCAGCTCAACCCAGCCCAGCTCAGCCCAGCCCAGCTCAACCCAGCCCAGCTCAGCTCAGCTCAACCCAGCCCAGCCCAGCCCAGCTCAGCTCATCCCAGCTCATCCCAGCCCAGCTCAGCTCAGCTCAGCCCAGCTCAACCCAGCCCAGCTCAGCCCAGCTCAGCTCACCCACTCCACCCAGCTCAGCTCAGCCCAGCTCAGCCCAGCCCAGCTCAGCCCAGCCCAGCTCAACCCAGCCCAGCTCAACCCAGCCCAGCTCATCTCAACCCAGCCCAGCCCAGCCCAGCTCAGCTCATCCCAGCTCATCCCAGCCCAGCCCAGCTCAGCCCAGCTCAGCCCAGCCCAGCTCAGCTCAGCTCAGCCCAGTTCAACCCATCCCAGCTCAGCACAGCTCAGCCCAGCTCAGCTCAACCACTCCACCCAGATCAGCTCAGCCCAGCTCAGCCCAGCCCAGCCCAGCCCAGCTCAGCCCAGCTCAGCTCAGCCCAGCCCAGCCCAGCCCAGCCCAGTTCAGCCCAGCTCAGCTCAGCCCAGCTCAACCCAGCCCAGCTCAGCTCAGCTCAACCCAGCCCAGTCCAGCCCAGCTCATCCCAGCCCAGCTCATCCCAGCCCAGCTCATCCCAGCTCATCCCAGCCCAGCTCATCCCAGCTCATCCCAGCCCAGCTCAGCTCAGCTCAGCCCAGCTCAACCCAGCCCAGCTCAGCCCAGCTCAGCTCACCCACTCCACCCAGCTCAGCCCAGCCCAGCTCAGCCCAGCCCAGCTCAACCCAGCCCAGCTCAACCCAGCCCAGCTCAGCTCAGCTCAACCCAGCCCAGCTCAACCCAGCCCAGCTCATCTCAACCCAGCCCAGCCCAGCCCAGCTCAGCTCATCCCAGCTCATCCCAGCCCAGCCCAGCTCAGCCCAGCTCAACCCAGCCCAGCTCAGCTCAGCTCAGCCCAGTTCAACCCAGCCCAGCTCAGCACAGCTCAGCCCAGCTCAGCTCAACCACTCCACCCAGATCAGCTCAGCCCAGCTCAGCCCAGCCCAGCCCAGCCCAGCTCAGCCCAGCTCAGCTCAGCCCAGCTCAACCCAGCCCAGCTCAGCTCAGCTCAACCCAGCTCAGTCCAGCCCAGCTCATCCCAGCCCAGCTCAGCCCAGCTCAGCTCAGCCCAGCTCAGCTCAGCTCAGCCCAGCTCAACCCAGCCCAGCTCAGCACAGCTTAGCCCAGCTCAGCTCACCCACTCCACCCAGCTCAGCTCAGCCCAGCTCAGCCCAGCCCAGCTCAACCCAGCCCAGCTCAACCCAGCCTAGCTCAGCCCAGCTCAGCCCAGCTCAGCTCAGCTCAGCTCAGCCCAGCCCAGCTCAGCCCAGCTCAGCTCAGCCCAGCTCAGCTCAGCCCAGCTCAACCCAGTCCAGCTCAGCTCAGCTCAGCTCAGCCCAGCCCAGCCCAGCTCAACCAGCTCAGCTCAGCTCAGCTCACCCACTCCACCCAGCTCAGCTCAGCCCAGCCCAGCCCAACCCAGCCCAGCCCAGCTCAGCTCAACCCAGCCCAGCTCAACCCAGCCCAGCTCAGCCCAGCTCAGCTCAGCTCAGCTCAGCCCAGCCCAGCTCAGCCCAGCTCAGCTCAGCTCAGCTCAGCCCAGCCCAGCTCAGCCCAGCTCAGCTCAGCTCAGCTCAGCTCAGCTCACCCACTCCACCCAGCTCAGCTCAGCCCAGCTCAGCCCAGCCCAGCCCAACCCAGCCCAGCCCAGCTCAGCTCAACCCAGCCCAGCCCAGCTCAGCTCAACCCAGCCCAGCTCAGCTCAGCTCAGCCCAGCTCAGCCCAGCTCAGCCCAGCCCAGCTCAACCCAGCCCAGCTCAGCCCAGCTCAGCTCAGCTCAGCTCAACCCAGCCCAGCTCAGCTCACCCACTCCACCCAGCTCAGCTCAGCCCAGCTCAGCCCAGCCCAGCCCAACCCAGCCCAGCCCAGCTCAGCTCAACCCAGCCCAGCTCAACCCAGCCCAGCTCAGCTCAGCCCAGCTCAACCTGGCTCAGTCCTGCTCAACCCAGCCCAGCTCAGCTCAGCTCAGCCCAGCTCAGCACAGATCAGCCCAGCTCACCTGCTCAGCTCAGCCCAGCTCACCTGCTCAGCTCAGCCCAGCTCACCCGGTTGGCCCAGCTTAGCACAGCTCAGCACAGCTCAAACCTGCTCTGGGTGGCCCAGGGCTGCCCTCACAGACATGAAAGCCCAGTGGTTCTGATGCAAAAGGGTAGGATCCTGGACCCGTGGCCTCGGTTAAAGCCTCTGGTCTGTGGACACTGCACAGCTGGGCTCGTCCCTCCCAGCCTCTTCCCCCTCTCCTCCTGGGAGCTCACGTGCCCCTTCCCCTGGGTGCACGATGCCTCCGTTCCCACCCCAGCCCTTCTCCCAGCCCTTCTGGCCCTTTTCCCAGCTGTCCGTCACCGCCACCCTCCACTCTGGGTAAAAAGCTTGCTGGTGACTTTAGCTTCCCTACCGCATCTAATAGGCCAAGGCACGTTTGCCACCCTCAGACAGAGGCCCCGTCTCTGCTGAGTGGGCAGTGCTGCTTCTCTGGGAGAGGAGAGCCTGGGCACATGTCCCTGGGGCCTGGCCGGCTTGGGCACATGCCGTGGGCCCAAGTTCCTGCCCCGAGTCTCAAAGAGTCCTGGTGACTAACTGCTCTCTGGCAAATGTCCTCATTAAAAACCATGGGAAATGCATCTTATTTGAACCTGCTCCCAATTCTGTCTTTATCACAAAGTTCTGCTGAGAAAGAGGATACTCTCTAGCACACAGCAACCATCTGAACCCCAAAGCCACGTTGACCGCTTAAGTGTGGATGCAGTAAGTGGTCCCTGTGGGTGTGAAGCACCCCAACCTTGCACGCAGTAGGTAAGGACAGATTGCCTTTCAAGTAGAAACAAAAACATCTCATACAGACATCCCGGGGCAGTGAGTCTGGCTGCACCGGCTCCTGCCTCTCACAGCCCGGCGCCTGGCCTCTGGCACGTCCGTGTGCTCTCTGACCCGGGCGGATTCCTCAGAATCCCTTTGCTGAGCTAACTCATGACCTGCGCTGGCCTGGCGGCAGAAGCCAGGCCTGCACGTCCCCAGCTGCGGGCGGTCCCAGGAGACCCCCCAGCCTCGGCGGGCCTGGGGACTCAGAGCAGAGACTGTCCCTCCAGACAGTCCTGGACCCTGCTGACTCCCACCCCACGGGGCATCCTCTCAGTCCCCCAGCTAGCCGTGTAGCCAGAGTAACTCATGACGAGTGCCCACGTTTCACCCCAAGTCTGCCCTGAGGTGGGTACCTGAAAGGCGGCCCTGAACATTCTGCAGTGAAGGACCCGCACTGAGAGAGCTGCTTCATCGCCAGGAGGGAGCCGGCCAGCTGAGACTGTGAGCACACTCACAGCGCACACGGCGCATGCACAGCCTCAGCTTAACTACCGTGAAGGAACAGCTCATTAAAGCGTGCAAATGCATTGATAAAATGCACCTAAGACAATTTAATTTCTTAAACATCTACTTTGAAAATGAATATAAATTAGCAGTTGATAAACTAAAGCTTAAGTAAATTCAAATAGTTAAAAGAGGAAGCTTCCAGTTTCTGTCAGCATCTGCGCCTTATTTTAGAAATGCAAATTAGCCAGGTGTTGTTGTGCTCAGTGGAACACTTTCGGTTCTGTAGGGCTGCGCAAAACCAGCCGCAAACCACCTCTTGGGAACCAGAAGCTATAAATTTACCAACTGTGTTTTCTTGCGTCCAAAAATAGACTCTCAGCTTCCTGCCACCTGCTGCAGGTGGTCAGTCCTGCCTGTGGCCATCTTGACTAACTCGGGGCCACCAATTAAATTAAAAAAATAAGCTGAATTTATTATTCTCAAAACTCAGCCCTTAATTGGGGCTGAGGGCCGATGGAACCTCATTATTACTTTTTGGCCAAACTTGCACCCATTTCAATTCTCCAAAGCCATGATTCACGGTTGTTAATTAAATGATAAAAATTTAAAATACTTTAAACATCTCTCTTTCTAAAGTTGCAATTTTCCAGACCATCAGGAGCTGCTCTGAAGATGCCCTGCCTTGGTATTCGCAAGCACACCTCCTCTGGTGAATTGCTTTTCTTTCTCTTAGAGTGGCCTCACAAAGCCCAGTGCCCGTCACCTCCCCAGGCTCTCCCTTTCGGGCGGCTGGGGTACCCCTCTCTTGCCACGATCGGGACACTGCTTGCCCGTCCTCACCTAGACAATTCTCTTCCTACCCAATAAAGAATTTTAAATACAGTCTAGGGCAGAACACACCTCGTCCGAGGAGGGTATTCTCTGTGCCCTCCGCGTGTGGTATTCCTGAGATTCTAAGTCATCCATACATGCTCCTCCGTAGATGCTAGGACCGCAGCAAGTTACTTTCTACCATAGCCCAAGCTGCACTGCCGCCAAGGGGGTCCTGGGACTCCCCTACTGTGGCCCTTCCCGCCCAAGCCCCCTCTGAATGCCGGCGAGATTCTGATTTTTTAAAGGCATCAGAAAATAGAGACTGAAATGCTTAGGGTGACTGGTCCCCTCCTGGCCAGTCTGCCCAGTCCCCTGAGGCCGGGGGGAGTGGGGCAAGACACGGACACATCGGAGGACCAGACAGTGATGATCAGAAAAACCTCATGAACAGGAGAGAAAACAAAGGCCCCGGATGGGCTCCTCTTACCTGAGGAGACGGTGACCAGGATCCCTTGGCCCCAGGCGTCTATACCGTAGTAATCACAGTGGTGCCATCTCCAGCCTCGCCCAGCAAAAAGCCCGGGGGCCTGGCCAGGCTCAGGGGCCCGGCACCCACCTCTCTCCAGGCGCCGCCGGGACGCCGTCAGTCAGAGCCGCTTCTCTGTGGCCCTCTGCCGGCCCCGCTCCTGCCTGCCTGCGTCGGACACTGCGCCCCATTCTGGCCCCCAGAGGCCCGGACCGCTGCCTGCCTGGGCCAGCTGACCATGAACCACAGACTCCCAAGTCCAGCCTTGAGCAGCCACCTGCCCCAGACAGCGACGGAAGCCTCTCAGTCCTGCCCAAGTCAGACAGCCAGACCCGCCAACGGAGCTGCCTCGTACCCACAGCGTGGAGTCCTTGGGGTGGGGAGGTCTGGCTCTGCCTGTTTACCAGAACCCTCTCCCCAGCCCCCTTTCTTGACCTCCAGAGTGCCCCGAGTCTCCCCAGGCGCAGTGAAGTGGGGTGGTGAGGCCTCAGCTGAGCAGATGGTGCCCAGGGGCCCCTGACTCAGTGCTTGAACCAGTTGTCACATAGTGACACTGATGCTGGGACCCTGGGTAAGAGCTAGTGGCCTGCTGGGACCTCCAGACCACCTCACCTGTGGCCTCATGAGGCCAACACAGCTGGGACCTTGGGAGTCCAGAGCCCAAGGGTGCCTGAGGCCCCCAGAGAAAGCCCTGTCTGCAGAGCTCAGGAGGAGAGGGTGCCGGGAGCCTCTGTTCCTCGCCGCTGTAAGCCTGGGCCCCTGGGCCCTCCCCATCTCAGACCCCTGGCTGCCCCAGGCCCTCTAGACCAGAGACCCTTGATTTCCCCCAAAGTGCACCAAAATTCTGAGAGAGAGTGAGGAGAGAGGGCTGGTGAGGACTCACCTGAGGAGACGGTGACCAGGATTCCTTGGCCCCAGTTACTGATATAGTCACAGTGCTATGGGCCCCGTTAGGGGCTGTGCAAAAACCCACAGCCTGGCATCCTCTGCCCCCATTGAAAGCCAGGCCCCCAGGTCCAAGAGCCCACTCTGCCTGACTGCGTTCCACAGGCAGAGGCCCCGCCTCAACAGGGCAGACAGGCAAATGGCCTCAGACGCAGACTCCCTAGGGACAACGGAGGGTCCACCACAGACCAAGGGTCCTCTGGACACTTCTTCCCCAGCCCAGGACAGAGCAGGCAGAGAGCTGTCTCACCTGAGGAGATGGTGACCGGGGCACGCTGGCCCCAGGGGTTAAAAGCATCACCAAGGGATGCAGTCCCGGCTGCCCCCAAGACATGAACCCTCGGGAGGCCAGGCCTGGGGGGCTCCCCTGACCTCACCGCACAGACCCCGGCCCCACCGGGCTCTGCCCACTGCTTCTCCTGCCCAGCCAGCTCCTGTCCTCCCCTCAGGCCTCAGCTGGCTCACCTCCGGGGGCTCAGGCAGACCCAAGGGCGGGACCCCGCTGGACTGGGACCCTGCCCTGCTCAGGGTGCAGTGGGGCTTCATAGAACCCAGGGAACTGCCCGAGGCCCAGGCTGCGCTGCAAGGGAGACGCCCCCTGAGGACATGGCGACTGGGGTGTGCTGGCCCCAGAGCTCCAAGTCCCAGCAACACAGCTTCTCCTCTGCTGCTTCTTATATGCAAAAACACACCCTGCCTCCTTTCCGTCCTGACTCCCATCCCAAGTCCACCCACATCCCGCTGTCCCCGGACTCTGGAAACCAGATTCACCTGAGGAGACGGTGACCAGGGCACCCTGGCCCAAGATGGAAGTCGGCATAGTCACAGTGGGCTGGCCCTGCACTGGGGGGCATGGAAACCCACCCAGCATCCCCAGGGAGCCCCCAGGAGCTGCAAGTCTGTCTTCCTGAAGATACTTGCTCCCCACCCCACAAGCACCTGCTTGCCCCAGGCCCCTGGTCTAGGATTTGACCGTCTGCTGACCCCTGACCTGCTTTGTTCCTATGAGGTCACATGCTCCCTGCCCCTCCCGAGGCTCACCGCCCCATTTCCCTGGGCTCCCTGCACCCCAGGCCTTGGGGAGCCGGCCCCTCGGCTGGGCCGGGCCTTGCTCCGTGACCGCCGGGGAGGCCCCCCCACCTTCAGCCCAGGTGGGTCTTCTTCAGCGCCTCAGGCTCCTAGCTGACCTGACAGGTCCCCATGTGCCCTGACAGGGAACGCTCAGCGTGAGACCCCCGACTTCCCTGGGGCCGCTCTGCTCAGGGATTTTTGTAAAGTTGTCAATCTCTGTGGCCCCACCCAGTTCTACTGTGGTTCCTGGCTCGGCCAAAACCCTGAGGGCTGGCCGTGGGTGAGCTGGGACCAGGGGTGGGGGGGGGGTCGGCCATGGAGCCCCTTGAGAGCCCTGCCCACTGATCCCCAGGGTCATTCCTGCATTGGGCACACAGAGTCTGTCACTGTCAGTGACCCTCCTGGTGCCGAAGGCGGCCTGCGCTGGTCCTTTCTCTTCTGGAAATGAGAGCAGATTCGAGCTATCTTGCATCCACCCGCACTGGAGCTGTGTTCTCACCTGGAGAAAGGCCTGTAGGGGCAGTGGGCGGGAGGCAGGCCTGGGCTGTTGTTGGCCCTCTGGTGGCTGATCCCCACGGCATGGCCCCGGGAGTCTGTCAGGGCCATGGCTCTCTGGCCATGGCTGTGAAGCTGGCAGAAGCCCCTTATTAACTCCACCTCTCACTGGTCTCCATGGGAGCGGTGTCCAGAGTCTGGGGCTGCACTCCACGCTGGACCACGGGGTGCCCCCAGGACTGGGGCCTGCTACGTCTTCTGGCTGCTGTCCTCGGGGAGAAGGTCCAGCTCTGAGTGCCCCCGGCAGGCGGGCAGGTGTGAGGGGAGGGGCATGATGGTGTCAAAGACAGGATCGCTCCCCCTCCAGACCTGAGTGCACCCTGGGGGCTGGAGGGGAGAGTTCTGCCCTCAACAGCATCAGAGCTGGAACCGGGGTGCCAGGACCCATGGGTGTGCCATGTATGGGCCCTCGGGGGGGTGGGTGTGAGTACAGTGGGCATGCTCGCCCTTGGACCACTATTGGGGGTGGGAGAGAAGGGCACAGATACGGCTGGGACTAGGGGGAGTGACCGTGCCCTGGAGGCTTGCTGAGGGAGGGTGTGAATGGACAGCATGTTGGGAAGTCTCTCTGTGTCTGAGTCCAGCTGAGGCCACGACTAGAGGCTGGGCCCTGTGCCCGGAGGAGAAGGGCCGGTAGTTTTTGTAGCTGGATTTAAAGGTGACCTGTGACAGCTTAAAGTGTTTGGTGAACAGTGCTGCTGGTCTCCTTTGTGGCCTCCGAAGGGGAAGATTTAACTCTGGGGCCAGTCTCAGTCACTAGAGCTTTGTGTAGAATTTTACTTGAAGTGAAATTGACAGAAAAAGCTTCCGACAGAGACATCAGAAGAGGGTAGGAGAGTACCGGCCTAGCTAAATACTCTCAACTGGCTGCTGAGAACAGGCAAGAAGCATGCCTCAATGGTGTAAGAGTTCCACCAGACCCTTTCGCAAGGCATATGTCCTGAGATAACTTCAGTACGAGATTAGCCAGGGAGTTCTGGGCAACGTCTCTGGGCAAGATATATACTGTTGCTGTGTAATCAGGGATACAAATCTTGAGAAATAGATTCCCTGGCAAGACTCAATAAGCATTAACATAGAGACTCAGAAAAGTATTTCCATGAGTAAGACATTGTGCTGTGTGATCATTAGCTCCTAAAGAGAGGCCAGTTCTCCGGCAAGATACTCTGCGGCACAGGCTTAAGGAAAGCATGAGTGAGAAAGTGCACCCACTCCTTAAAGGGCCTTGGACTGCCAACTAAGCTTTAACTCATTCACCTGGTTGCCTGTTGCTCAGTTGGTAAAGAATCTGCCTGAAAGCAGGAGACCCAGGTTCTATTCCTGGGTTGGGAAGACCCCCTGGAGAAGGGAATGGCAACCCACTCCAGTACTCTCGCCTGGAGAATCCCACGGACAGAGGAACCTGGCAGGCTAGAGTCCATGGGGTCGCAAAGAGTCAGACATGACTTAGCGACTAAACCACCACCACCACCTGTGTGCCCAGCAAAGAGGCTGAAGGATGGGGGGCTTGTTGAGAGACTCGGTTTTGGCTCTGGGGCCTCCTGTCTCCCTTTCAGGAAATGGGGGATGTGGCTGCTTCAGGCCCTCCAGGAAACAACTGCTGTGGCACTCCCGCTTCTCTGGTTCCTGCTTGGGGGAGGGGAGGTGCCCACGGTGCCCTGCCAGCCCCTCTTACTGGGCTTGCGTCTCCAGCCCCAGGCAGCCGGGGCCCTGCCGGCACAGGGTCAGACAGGTCACAGCATTGTGGGCCCTGTGTGGACGGCAGCCCTGCCCTAGTCTGGCCCCCACGAGTGACAGAATCTGGCTTTGACTTTTTGAGCCCTTCGAAGTCTGACCTGCCTCCCCCTCCACCCCACAACTGCCTCTTCCCAGCAACGGTGTGCAGAGCTTGGGTCAGGGCAGGGGTGGTGGTCCAGAACTTGCAGACCATGCAGTTGGTCGTGTTCATGCCCAGGCTGGGCTCCTTCTACAGCATCCTGTGGCTGAGTTCTGGGACTCCGTCCTGCCCCCACCCTCCTCAAACCAGAGAAAGGACATGATGCTACAGGTGTGTGCCCTAGCAAGTTGCCAGGTGACGCGTCTTGATCTCCGTGATGGAACGACCAGAACCGGGCCCACTGGCCATGCTGAGTCAGTCTCCTGTCTTCTGCCCACCCCACTCCGGAGGGTGGATGACCTACCCCACTCTGGAGCATGAGGCTGTGAAGCTGTCTCTTGACTGGGCTGCCCCAAGCAGGGTGTGGAGTCCATTGACTCAGCCCCTGAGGCAGGAGGAAAGGTTACCCTGGTCACTCAGCTGCCTCATTAGTCAGGGCACATCTATGCAATTGCTTCTGAAAACAGCTAGTGAGGTATAAGGGCTCTCTGGCCTTAATGTCCAAGGCAGAGGGGTGAGCCATGATGGGAGGGAGGTCTCATCTCCTTGAACTTCTGGCTCATGGGGTTTAGGAGATGGAGAAGACAGAGATGACGTCTGCTTGGGTGACCAGA